TAAAACTAATAACAAATGAAATAAATAACCTATAAAAATGTGTTGCTCAATAAAACTAGAATATTATGAACACAACTTTCACATGTATATAGTTTGTTTAAAGCGAAAATATTAATATATGTGTTTTATGCCCTTACAACCTCCTTAACTTGGCGCCTTAATTTTGTTGATATCAAATCTTTTATATGAATGATACATATCATTAGAGTTAGGTAATATTATATACAAAGAACCGGTTTCACCAACTCGATTAAGCCGAATCCGTAATTAACCATAAGTGTTAACGATAAGTGGTCAATTCCACTAAACAGCAAACGCGATTAGTCAGTTCCACGGCGAATTAAGTAATTGGCGTTGGTGAAACCGATCCAAATAATTTTTATGAAAAGCATGCATGCTTAGCGCTTTTTTTACCTTTTTTTGAAAAGGTAAGTTTGTATAAATAACAAGAGACAGTACCATTTGTTTTACTTTTTAATTTGATGGAGTTTAACTTGATTAGTTAAGATTGTATATTAACTATTATACTAAGATATACTGTATTCGAGAACATTATCCGGGTGCCAACGTATATCATCTTACCCTTAGCATTAACATTAGGTGAACTTATCTTTAACATTAGGTGAATAATGAGGATATACAGAAGCACTCGCGTAACGTTTCCGAACGCAGCTTAAGAATATATAAATTACAAAGATATGTGATATACATTATTTTAAATTAATCTTCTATTTCGTTATATAATAATGGATCAATATATTTCTCGCTCCCATGATATGATATCTTAAAACATTTCCCTCTTATTTTAGATAACAACCACATATGTATATACACACGCATATATATTTATGACATCTCGTGGAGTTTCTTGGATATCCCACGATGTCGTCTAAAACGTCTGTGGAATCTTACACATGCGGACACTTGTACATCCCCTGGATAACCTTTGAATAATTGGGTTCATCCACAGATATCATAAGATTATCGCGATATCCGTTGAATATCCCTAGGATAAATTTTGCACATGGCTGTATATCTCAAAAATTAAAATTAATTCTATGCAATAATTGATTTTTAAAAAATCATTCAATTTATTAAATTCATGCTTATTTTAGATCTTGTTTCTTCCACATAGTTCACGCAAATTGTACCTAGTTTATTTCTTAGCTCCATTGCAGTCGAATATGACTTCACACAAATATATAGAAAGACCAACGTCTAAAATTTGATTTTATATTATTGAATTTTAATTACAATTATTACAATATTACATTATTTCCATTGCAATCATGTATGTGAAATTATAATCTCATGTTCCTTTTTCTGTTATGAGATTAGCTGAACTTTCGCATTAATAGGATATATGGTAACTCTGCCATTAAAGACAATGCATATGCACAAAAATAACTAATCACCAAATATCCTATGATCGTAGTGGTCTAAAAATGAAAATTGTGACAATAAGTATATTTATTTTATCGAGGTTGGAATTTTGATTGTTTGTGTACTTACCATGGACAGAAATTCAAAATGAATAAATGTTTCACTATGCAAATGAATCGAACGTATAATAACAGGATGTATAAGGTAAGCGCAGTATGTAAGTCTGCTAAGAGGAATCCAGATTTTCCATGATAAAAGCTCCTTAATAATACCTGTAATAAAGCGTTTAATAAGAATAACATTTTTTTTCTAAATTATAACATTGCTCTGTTATGATTTATTATTGTCTATTACAAAAATGCTTATTAAGCCTTATATCTATTGACGCTAAATTATTTAAATTGTCGTCGGATAAATTAGTTATCTCAAACGTAATAACTAATTTATCAGACGACAATTTAAAAAGAATGTACCACTGAGGAAAATTGTGAATCTACTGCAATTATGTGGACTGAGAAACTTGTAGACTGTACATAAAGATTACTGCAAAAATCGGCATTGATTTACTGAGGCTAATTCATACGACGATGGATTTTTGTTAGATATTATTCCAAATGATTGCAGTGGAAAATAAGTTCTATTACTATTTACAATTTATGCTACTTGTGTAACGTAAATTTTTAATTTTATTGATCTCGTTCAATATTTTCTTAATTCTTCCATCGAAAAAGAACACGTATTTACAAATACTTTTAATATTAATGACGTCATAATTTTTTACTTAAATTATCTAATATAGGTAACCAATTTATATTGCGGTCAGAGACGTTACGAGGCACTAAGCAGGTACGCTCCAGCGTAAAGGGTAAAATTTGGAGGGGCGCAAAATTTTAATAGCCAGCGTTACTCCTGTAAATATAAAGCTTTACCTTACTTGGTATTTTAAATGAATTAGCTAAAAATGATTTTCTGAAAATCTTTTCAAATTTAGCAATAGCGTCACAGATCTCATTAATTGCGCCAATGTCTGTGACAACTGCAGAGGCATCTCTCTCTCTCTCTCTCTCTCTCTCTCTCTCTCTCTCTCTCTCTCTCTCTCTCTATCACTCTCTTTCAAATTTAAAAATAATAAAGTATTATTTAAGAAATACAATGATGCACGTAATCGTGCGATTTAGCTATGATAACAATTGAAAAAGAATTGGCGAACAGTTTTGATTACATAATCAGTCTTGATTACGTTACAATCGAAGTTACGTAAACGTACTCGATGACGTAATCAGAATATTTCCAAAAACCAAGCCAGAAAATATAATAGTATAATATAGTATGTTGCATTAAGCGTCAAAATATTATTACAAAAGAAAATTTACTGTATTCGTATCCCTTAAAATGCAAATATTGATGGAAATTCCTTTTTTTTTTAAGTTGTTGGTTGATTGTCGTTGGTTGTGAATTGGTGCTTCAAAGACTTATGCCCAATTTCTTCACCTCTAGATAACTTTATCCAAGAGATATCTCCCAGAATACAATGGAGATATCTCCTGGATAAGGTTATCCGCAACTTATCTGGAAGTGAAGAAATTGACCATTAGAAATCCTACCCTGGTAGCAAGCTGACGTCAAAATAACGTCATTTGACATCAAAAAGACGTCATTTGACGTCAAAATGACGTCAAAATGACGTAGCTTGCTACCTGGGTTGTAATGGGAAGTAAAAGCAAATTCCAGCGTAGGGCGCCAAAGGCGGTCGTAACGCCTCCGATTGCGACTCTTATATTTAATTTTCAACATATTAACATCCTTATAATATGATGCTTGATGATAGCATTAAATTATTAAATTGCTTACCAATTTAATTCGCGATTACTAGAGCAGCTTTAATTGCGTTTATAGTCCGGAAAAACAATTCAGCGAGCAGTTTGAAAAAAACTACAATATAGTATATATGCAAGTTCATGTATAGTGTATATTAGTAAATCAAGATTGAATTATTTAAAACAATGAAGATCCAGCTTTGACCGTGATAGGTATTTTAAATTTCTAGTATTGATTGTGTTTCTCACATATGCGGTCTAAAATAAAGATTCTTCATATTGTTTATATTTAATTTTATTGTTACTTTCAATTAGCTTAATTATTATGTTTTACACTAAGGAACTGATGAAGGTTGATACGTTTGTATGATTTAATATTTATATAAACTGATAAATATTAAATGTAGATTAATCATTAGCACTTAACAACGAGTTTTGCCTCCGAGAGTAGCCTTTCCTCTCTTTTTAGCAATTTTTATTTTTAAAAAGTTCTTGAGACAGAATATTTTGATTATTTTTTATCTATTTAATACTATTATTAAATCGACTAACCTCCATGCTCAGTACAACACATTATTACAATCCATGCTATGCCTATGGCCCAAACTGTTCTACTTAATGCAACATAAATAGCAGTAGACAGAACGGATATTTGTCGTTTGTAAAGGCCAAATAACACCAAAATGTTGCAAGCAGCGCCAAGAATCCAACATAAAATTATAATATTCTGAAATTTATACATTTTGCTTAAAATATTGTAAACAATAAAAACGGTTGAGCATATGCCACACACTAGATATTGTTAGTGAAATATCATTAATATATTCGTATATAAAATTAAAAGAATTACAATAATTATGTCAGATATAATAAATCAAAGTATAAACGTTTCGGCCCTGAATGTGGCCATCTTCAGTATAAATAAAAATAATATATAAAATTATAAAGATATAAGAATTACAGAATAACGGTTACAATTAGAATATA